GAATTGTTTTGCTTTCCTTCTTTTGAAAAACAAGGAGGTGAAGTAATACACTCAATTCTACCCTTACTGCTGCTTACCTTGACAGTGAGAAAGCACTTTTGCATTCTGAGCTTGAGCTGTCTTCTCAGTGGTGGAAAGCAAGGGCGAAAAAAGTCAATTTAACATGATTCCAGCCCTGTTGATTCTTCACAAGTCATTGATCTGGAACTAGTAGTAGAAAGGCAGCTATTTCATAATAAAGTTTGCAGCTATTTCAAGTTAGCTCCTCTCAGCAGAAATCATCTTCCTGGAAAGGCCCCACAGAGACTGGCTTAAAATAGATATCATTAGGAAGGAGATGCACTGCAAAAAGGCAGTGGTACAGGAGAAAACAAAGAACCTAAGAGAACAAGGAGCTTATAGTTATTTCTGGATTCAGTTTCCTCCCCCTCCACCTGCTGTCATGTCAGTATAATGTTAAGTCCATGTTGTGCCTTCATCCTTCTGGGCTGTAGCTCTTCCTACCTCCTGCTTCTCTGGTGGAAGGGAAAAGGTACAGGTCTGTCTTCTAGGTGGACAGATGCGAAGGGATCACTACTTGACTCATTGTTTTTTCTACGTTTTGTAGAAGAGAAGAACAAGAATGCCATCATTTGCATGCTTCTTCTCTAGTTATAGATGGCTTTGAAATATATCAAGGCAGCTGATCATGGTCTCTCTGAGGAAGTAGTAATTGATTTATTGATCTAATATCTATAAAACATAAATGAATCTTCTCATTTGACAGTAAGTACCCAAAATTAATTCTAATCAGTTATATAAAATGCATCCCTTGGGTTGTGAGTCCTGTTCGAGGGCAGCCATAATAGTAGATAATGTTGCTGACTTCTGAACAGAACAACTGAGTTTACAGCTCCAGTATTTCTGAGGCTTAGTCAAGAATACAGTTAGGGTATGACAGTGCATTTTGTGAAACTTAGAGGTTTGTTAGTACTATGTTGAAACAAATCCAGAATCATGTAATGGCTGTCTGGGATCTCCTGCATCTCACAGCAGTGCTCCGACCACCAGGTGACAGGTTGCAAAATTCACCTTTTATTTTCCTCTGGTAAGAACTTCACTGAAACAGACATATTTTCTTTTTCTGCAGAAAGCATTTAGCATCAAGTAAATGAAATCCTGATGAAAGAAAAAAAGGCAAAAAAGGTAGCCAGAAATATTTGACCTTAGCCTTAGCCTTCTAAGTACTGTAGGATTTTGTTAACTTTTGAATGACTAGAGCTATCCTAGTAAGATATTTATAGCAGAGAGTCAAACTGGATTCAGTTTTGAATAATCCAGAAATCACATAATCAGTTTGTTTGATTCATTGTATCAGTGTTTGTTTTACAGGTAGGAAAGTGTTTTCAGTTCCTAACTGAGATATGTAGATTTTGGGGGAGAGAGGGGGGGTTAAGATAGGTATGAAAACAGTAATTAAAGCTGTGAGGTACTAATTTAGAGCATCAGGTAATGGAAAAAAAAAAGTGAATATGTGGCCAATTCATTTATATAGACAAAGCACTTCTCTTAAAATACAGTAACATCTCCTATGAAGGAAGAAAAATTAAATTATACATCTCAGCTTAATGTAAATGTCCTTCACCTGAGCGATATCATATCAAAAATGCTTCCTAGCACTTACCTAGTGTTTTTATAAGTATGTATAGATACAAGGGTATCTTTTGAGATACAGAAAGGTAAAATAATAAGCTTTTGACTTCACTTGAGGGCTTAGTTTCCCAGTTCACCTCAGCAACTGACTGCCCTGTGAGATCCCCCAGCAGTGGGAAGAGGCTTGGATGAAAGTCCCTCCAGGCGAGAACTGCTGAGCCCTGGCACAGCCATTCACAGTGCAGCTGTGGAACTGTGTACGAAGTTGCTTGCCATCCCCCTTCTTCACTCCTCTGCTTCCAGTCCACAGGGATTACAAAGGGTGATCCCGGCAGAAGGATGTGATTAAGGAGGTGCTCATGCAAGATCACATTGCCTGTATGCTCCTCTCTTCTAAAGATGTTTTTTTTCGTCTCTACTCATAAGCCAGGGGAAATGGATGAGCACTGATAGATTTGGGTTCCCTACTTATCACATAATAAACTGCATTCAAAAGACATAGGGATTATAGAAGCCATGTGTAGTTCAAGGGCGCATTTAAGAAGAAAGATCCATTGCCAGTTCCACAGGGAAACTTCCATTCTGTGTCACTGTACTAGAGAAAGACATCCCGATTTATGCACTTATGTCACAACTGTTACTTATTGGGGGAAGGGAGGAGTGGCTAATTAGAGTGATCTTCATCTTGGGGTATTTTTCTAGGTTAAGTGGAAGTGTGGTCTTTGAGTCCCAAATTGTGTCTTAGAGCAAACTGCAAGTGGAAATTTTTCCAAAATACATTTTAGTGCCTTTAACTGATTAAAAATAATAGACCCTATGTATAAGACATATGTCCCACTGTACTTTAAAGATACTGCATATTGAAGGGAAATGTGAAAAATTCAACAGTTCAGTATTACAAAATTTTGCTGTATTTCCAACCTTTTCTCTTCTAATCGTTTTTCCTCTGAAACTAATATTAAAATCTGTCATTAATCTTGCTAAAGTAAATATGTGATGATACAAACATTGTTATTGATTTTTACTGCTGGCAAGCTATTGCAGTTCCATTCCTAAGTTCTTAGAAATTTTTCAGTGTACTGCCTCTTCAAACGCAGTTACAGCTGGGTTTTGTAGCAGTGATAGATTCTTTTCCCTTTTTTTTTAAATACAGACAAAAAACATCTCTAAGAAACAGAAATAATAGTAAATTATTTCCACATCATGTAGAATACCTTTCAGCTTTTGTTCTATCAGTCTTCTTTTCCTGAGTTTTAGATTTCCCTTGTTTAGCTTCAGCAGTTTGGAGTTTTGTTTTGAATTATGTTCTTTGTCCATCTGCTTAGTCAGTATGCATACCTTAGTTATTTAATGTATGGTTTTGATTTATGTGGGGATCAAACACTATAGAAATGCTTTTCTTGCGAATGCCAAGAAATGGAAAAGACAGTTGAATTCAATGATTCAGGCTGTGATTAAGCATTGCTTTCCTGCCTGTGAAGACTTTGGACTTCTGATGTTTTGAGTTCTGAACCTTTTAAAAGTAGAAAAACATGGATTGTTTGTGGAACAGTGGAAATTAGGATCTTAAGTATTGTTTTATAAGTAAATATTATATACTTTACTTGCCAAATTGAGACAAGACCATCTACATATAAAGTGTAAAAAAGTAAGTAAAATGTTGAATTAATTATGCTTTCTCTCAAATCACGATGCTATGTATTTGTGGAAAGATCTGATTTTATATTATTTCTAGCTTTCAAATGCAGTGTCCTTCTGATGTAAAATTTATACTGCACATTGTTCAATTGTACTAGGTTTAACTTCGTTGCTGCAGGACACCGCCTCTGTAATATGGTAAATAATGAGTGCTAGATAATGTAAACATGGATCTCCCTGTTCACATAGGCTGTTTATGCAATACTGAGTTGTCCTGTTTCCACTGTTGCTCTGCTTTTCAGATTGCTTCTTTGGTGGTTCATTTAGTGCTTAGGCTTGGATCCTGTCTCCTTGTTGACCTTTCCATTCTTCATTTATATCCCATTACTCTTTTCTATCCCTAACTCAATTTCAAACTTATGCATTTATATGTGGGTTTTTAATCCATCTCTCTACTTTTAATGGTTCTTCTTGCTCAATCTCCCACATCCCATTCTTTTCCTATCTATCCTGTAAGCGCAAAACTTACGCCGAATTGCTCAATGCTTTTACTTGAAACATCATGTTGGCGGTGTCATTGTGTCTGTCCTTGTCAGCATAACCTGTGACAACAGTTTTGGCCTTTCTTTCACTGGCTCAGGCCCTGAACATGTAGGATGTTTTTAAAAGCAAACAAATGCAGTGCAGGTGTGGATTAGTGGTAGAAAGCTCTGAATTGTGAAGCACCTGGGATACAGATACTCATGAGCAGCAAAGCACTGTTCCCAGATGAGCATTTCTGAGGGATTTGGGCTTAGCTCTGTATGTATGTATGAAGGCAGGAGTGGCACAAAGAGTATCCTGTCATTTTCAGTTGATAGATACTGTCTCATTCTGTAAATCTGTCACTAAGGCATCTTTGCTGTTTTCTTACAGAGGAGGAAAGTAGGAGCTAAGAGGCCTGACATAGTTTTAAGAGTCTGCAGAGCTATTGGAACTATAGTTTCTCTGGGCTGATTTAGACTGCAGCATTGTGTGACATTTCCCTGACACAGGGAAGACCACCACAGCTCCAGCTCTCATGTGTTAGCCAGCCTGCAGCCCTGACTCCTGCAAGCACCATATACCAGCGTACTGAAATGCATCCTTGGAGGACAGCTCTATAGGCTGGAGTCTTCTGAAGTGGCAGTACTGCTCTTTCTGTCAAATAAGTTTTGCTTAACCCTGGATCTTTTACCTAGAAGAAGGGATTGGAAAGGGAATGAAACTTTTTATAGTTTTTTATAAAGAAGAAGAGTGTTTAGCATCTGCAGTGGCCATGTGGTCAAGATCGCCATGCTCCTACCCTAAACCTTCCTGTGAATTGCAGCTGATTCCTGTAAATGTTCCTGAGTGCTTTCCAGAGCATTTGCAGGTTCAAAGACAGATATAACTCTGTCAGCCACAGAGGCTGATGTTTTCTTATAGGGGCCAGTAGAGGCCTGGTTCCATTGGTACACCAGGGCAGTGCAGTAGAAGTCCCACAGCAGCCCTGCATTGCTGGTGACCTGCTGGCAGCAGTGCCAGGCTTGGGCTGACCTCACCTCCACAGCTAATAAGATTGTCAGCCTCTAGGTCTGTGTGTGACATTGTGTTTGCAGGTCACAGGATTTTGTTTTGAGAGCAGAAGTCAGCAGTAAGTTGGCAGTACATTAGAGCTTGTTTAGGGAGTTTTCTCTCTGTAACTTTTTTTTTTTCTTTTGATGTTGCAGGAAATATTCAGGAAGTCATACTACAAGAACACTTGGAAAAAGAAGATGAAATCCTGGTTTCCTTGGCTGGTTTGAAGCAGGTATAACTATTGCTTAGCTTAACTCTCTTGTACCCTTAAGTGCTATTAAACACTTTTTTTTTTCTCCTTTTTTATTCTTTCAGTATACTGCTGTTTTGTCTTGCTGTAGCTGTTTTACTAATACTAACGCATCAAGCATTCTCGTGTACTTTTATTCAAAAAGGTAAAACTCAGCTATAAAAGTTCAAATGACTTGCATAGTGTTTGCTCCCTGAAAAGTTCTGGAGGCCTTGGACCAGAACTGAGGCAGTGCAACACCACATTCTGGACTTCAACCACGCCGTCGTTTTTCTTAATGCAAAATGTACATAGGCAATAGTTGTGCCTATGTCCCTGTTATTTAAATGTGTTGACACTGGAATGTCATTGAATTAAAAGAAAAACTACTATGTACATAAAATGAGAATGCTGCCGAGCATCTGTATCTCTGATTATACTGCCCTCTGCTCCCTCTAAATACCTTTTATGAGGAACAAATCTTAAACATATAGTGAGGTAGGAAATAACCTTAACAGTTTCATTCTCTGTAGTTTTCTTGGATAGTTGCTTTCCAGACTCTGATATAACAACATTTCATTGATACTTGTTTCTTTAACCAAGATAGATAGGAATATTGACTTGCTTCCTATCTCTTCAAATATTTTGGGGAAAAGGTGTATGAAAGCATACTGCACAGAGCTTTAAAAATGTATAATACCTCCAGTTTTCTGACTTGCATTCTTCATCCTCCCATCCAACAACAGATCAAGGATATCCTGAAAGGTTCATTGCGTTTCAACCAGAGTCAGCTGGAAGCTGAAGAAAATGAGCAAATCACTATAGCCGATGATCATTACTGTTCCAACAGTCAGAACAAGGGGACAGGTGATGCCCTAAAGGGACCTGTTATGACAAAGCAGCAGTTCATCTCAGAACGACAGGTAAGATAAAAACATCTCAAACAGGGAACTAATTGAATTAGTCTTTTTTTTTTTTTTTGGAGACTTCTTTTAGCATGTCCAGACATTACATGGGAACATACCAGCATTCCTGGTACATATGGTTAAAAGTGTTTCTATAGCTGTTGTCCTACTCCCATCAATTAATCTTATTGTAGTCCTATGCTCCACACACAGATATTAAAGGTTTATGCAGTTTTGGCTAGGGGGGTTCTTCTTTCAGATTGCTGGATCACAGAATCACAAATTAATTTCCTACAAATAGATGTAAAAACTGGAGGTAAATGTTCCCATATCAGATGTTCCTATATGATTATTCTCATTGTCCTTGTCCTCCAGAATCCATTATGTAAGAGCTGATTAACTGCATTGCAGTGTATTCATGGCCAGTGCCAAAAAGGAAGTAGCAAGGAGGTTGCTTTTGCCTCCTACTCCATTTTATTGACCTTCTCCTTGAATCAATAAACAATGTTTTCACATACAAAGCATACAGTCACGGGACAAGTTCACACACAGAAAGAAGTATCTTCCTTCCATGTTAAAAGGTCCCTCCCTGTCTAAGACTCAATCTGACTCAAATGTGATCTTAAAAACAAGTACTTTTCTATATGAACATTCCTATCATGGATTTAAGTTTGTCACCCCACTACTGGTACTCACACTTGTAAAGCAGTGGCAGCACTTCAACCTCAGAGCTGAACTGAGTCTGCAGTCAGTTTACTTTCATTAAGTTTACTAAGGAACTACAGAAAATAATCTATTCATTTTCAAATAATCACACAGGGTGTGATTTAATACACACAATTCCCCTGAGGTAGAACACTCTATGTAAAAATCATATTTTTATTGTATTTCAGTATTAGAAGCAATATTGAGGTTTGTTGGGGCTTTTTTAATTAGTAATGGCAGGTTCAAAGAGCAAAGCTTTGCTAGGGAGTTTCCACTGCTTGTTTAGCTGTTGTCATTACAAGCACTACTTTCTGCCATAATAAAGCCATAGGTTAAACTGATGTAGCATATTGGAATGTTCATCTAATGACCTCCTATTTTTGCCCTTTATCTCATAGCATTTTATACAAAGTACATTTTGCTTTCTCGCCAAAATGGCAACTTGTGCTTTTTTGATGATTTTTACTCGGATTTAGTCTAGAAACTGGAAGTTAGAATGCCATACGAAATGACAGCATGCTGTATGAGTGTGGGCAGACCCTACTCAAGCTGGAGAAGCCCTTACTCAGATGCTGGTCTAAACCACATGTCGCTGAGCGGAGGCACTTGGGCTTTGGCCTTTGAGTATTAAGAGTGGAGCAGGTGAAGCCTGGTCTGCGCAGGTTTGTTTTCCCAATGGAAGCTTTGGAATGACATATAATGAGGTCCAGTCTTATCCCAGACTGTAGTTAGAGTATATACATCCAACCCCAGGAAGTAAGAGGTGTCTGTAGTGATTTCCTCATGATTTCAAAGGCTGCTATTAAAACAACTACAAGCAACATGAGTAGAGGTTGTTGAGCTCCTGCAGAGTATTAATGTGGCTTCAGCCCTGCATGGTCTACATTTGGAGGTGCAGTACGTTCATATGGATTAGCCTTCTCTTATCTTCCAGAAGCTCCAATTATGATAATGAGAAACAGCCCCTTTGACAGAAAGAGGTTAGGGTTAGAAATGGAACCCTAGGAGGACTGTTAGTATTGGGACAATCTGTGCTGTTTCTGAGCCTGTTGTCTTTAACCCCTGTGTCTAAAATCAAACAAAAAGAGGAGAGGTTTGGATCTCTTTCAATAAACAGGAAAATAAAACTGCTGAATTCAGTGGGCTGTGACATTCAGCTGTTAATTGATGGGGTCAACTGTTGGCCCAAACTGGGCCTTAGCCCAGGCTTTTAGCTCTGCTGAAGAAAATGGGCTGCACTGGTGCCCTGGGTCAAGCCAGGAATACTTACTGAGAGATGCAGGAGCATTAAAAACCAACCATTTCTAGACCATTTAATGCATTTCTTGGTAAATAATTTTGCTGTATTTACATTTTCTGGGACTTCAGTAATGTGTGTAATTCTGTTTGATGTGGCTTATAGAGACTTTTCTCTGGTGGAATTATAGGGATATTTTCTAGGACATCTGGAAAAGTTACAGGTGTAGTTATTGTGTAATTGAGATTAAAATCTGGTCTTTTGGGCTTGGTTGTTATATAAGTATAAATTGCCATCTTTTACTTCTTTTAAAAGTACTTTTCCTCTTTTTTGCCTCAAAATCCCTTTCTGGAAAATGAGGATAAGGATACAGCCCTTCTCTGGAAAGGAAAGCTGCAAAATTAAAAATGCAAAAACATAGTAAAGGCTCAAAGAAATAGAACGGTTTTGTGACTGTTTGGCTTTGGAGCAGTGCACAGTTGACAAACAGAAGGCTTCTGTTGCTAAATAATGAATGATAATTAACACATTATCTTGCCTTTATGTCTGTTCAAAGAAGGAGGCAAAATGAGCTGCTGTTCTTCTAAGCTTTCTTGAATTGTATCCTTACAGTTAGTTTTAACTCATTCACAGTATGAGGGCAATTGTAATAAGCCTGGTCCTAGTAGCTGATATTCATCAGGAAAAATGTTTGGAGAAGCCATATGGCAACGGGCGTAAGGTTGTTAACTTTCAAAGCTACTGGAAGTATAATTCTGTCATTTTTCATTTATTCAGTAGTGGCAGCAGATGGGAGAAAACATGGTTCACGTCAGCATGAGTTTCCTGAAACAGAAACAGGCAGAAGAAGAAAGGAGGAGGTATTTTACCCCTGGAAATACCAGTAGCAAAATACCAGTGTATGCCAGAGATAGGCAAACATTTATGGGAGGCCCTTTTATAGCATTTTGGAGTCAATATCTGTGCTTCAGTGCTTCTTTGATTCTTCAGCGAGCTATAGATCTCTTTAACTGAACCAAAAAGTGTGGGCAGAATGAAAAGTAGTGTCAGAAAGCACAACACTAATGACAAGAAATTGGGATGAGTAGTTTTCTTTCCTTTCCCTTTATCAAAGGGCAAGGAAGTGCATTTTAAGTGCATTCTGAAAGCAGAATTTAGGAAATTGCAACACCGGTACAAAGTGTTTATGATGTAGGGCCTTTGCTGGTGCTCACTGCTGAAAGAAAGATAGGTACGCCATTATCGTCCTTGGGGTACCAGCCAGGAAAATACTGAGCTTGTGGAGTGAGTGTGTCACTAGGTAACATCTGTGTCACCCTGTGCAAGATGGAGCCATCACAGATGTGAGGGCTGCGAGGTCTGAAATCACCTGATCTTGATAGCTTGCAATAATGAAGTGTCTAATTTTGCAGAATGAGACTATACTGCATTCCCCGAGAGCTTTTAAATAGAAGCGTGGAGAGAAGCCAGGTGAATTATGCAGCACTGGTTGTTTAAAGGAATGTATATTTCTGTTGTGCAAGACTGGGGCGGGATGTGAAAGAAAGTACTGAAATTTTGAACATGGCATTTAGAGCTCCCAGCAAAGCTTCACCTGGCTGTGTCTTGTGGCCGCGCTGGGTTCCTGCAATATTAGGCATCCACTAACATGTGAACCTCACGAGGTTCAACAAGGGCAAGTGCAAGGTCTTGTTCCTGGGTCAGGGCAACCTCTGGTATTGGGCTGGGGCATGAAGAGATCGAGGTCAGCCCTGCCAAAGAGAACCAGGGGCTACCAGTGAATGAAGAACTGGACATGAGCCCACAGTGTGCATTCACAGCCCAGAAGGCAGATCATATCCTGGGCAACATCCAAAGGAGCGTGGCCAGCAGGTCAGGGGAGGTGATTCTGTCCCTCTACTCTGCTTTGGTGAGACCCCACCTGAAGTACTACATCCAGTTCTGGAGCCCTCAGTACAGGAAAGACATGGACCTGTTGGAGGGGGTTCATAGAAGGGCCACAGAAATGATCAGGGGCATGAAAGACCTCTCCTGTGAGGAAAGGCTGAAAGAGTTGGGGTTTTTCAGCCTGGAGAAGAGAAGACTCTGGGGAAACCTTATTGTGGCCTTAAAGTACTTAAAGGGGGCTTGTAAGAAAGATGAGGACAAACATTTTAGCAGGACCTGTAGTGATAGGACAAAGGGTAATGATTTTAGACTGAAAGAGGGTAGATTTAGACTAGGTATAAGGAAGAAATTTACAATAAGAGTGGAACTTGTTGCCCAGATGTGGTAAATGCCCTATCCCTGGAAACATTCAAGGTCAGGCTGGATGGGGTTCTAAGCAACCTGATCTAGTTTAAGGGGTCCCTGCGCATTGCAGAGGGGTTGGACTAGATGACCTCTAAAGGTCCCTTCCAGCCCACACCATTCTATAATTGTAGGATTCTATGTTGGTGGAGCAGAGCCATGGTTGTGTGCTGCCCGTGTCCTCAAGTCCCCTGGAGATGGCAGCTGATCGACAGCTCATGAAGACAGTATTTTAAACAGACCAAATGAAAGCAAAAGCTAATTAGTAACAAATGATACCTCAGCCCAGAAGTGCTTAAATAGTGAAGCATCTCTCCTTGTAGGGTAGATCAGTTTGTTTTTAATATCATGGAAACTGCTTGACATTTGAACTACCCTGGTCCTGCACAGAGCAGGAAGTTTGAGATCCATTTTGGTAGTACTCAGCACAAGACAGCTGTTGATATTTCTAAAGGCGATCTGCTCAGTTTGGTATGACTTTTATGAAGTCATCTAAGGAAAACTAATTAGTATCAAAAAACAATACATTTCTATCATTTTGACAACTGCATTACACTGGAACCTTTAAAATTGTAACCAATACTCTGGATTTATGATATTTCCATTTGAATGATAAATTATTAACATGTTATTTACAAAATGGAATGCTATTTGTTATTGTACCTGGATAATAATATAATGTTACTATAAATACTATGTAGATAACATGCAAAAAATTATAAATTATAAAAATGGAATGTTTTAAAAATTTACTGCAAAGGGAAACAAGCTAAGAAAATTGGGGCTGTTCAGCATGAGGAAGAGAAGCTGCATGGAGACGTCATAGCAGCCTTCCAGTATCTGAAAGGGGCTTACAAGGATGCCAGTGAGGAACTCTTCATCAGGGACTGTAGTGATAGGACAAGGGACAATGGCTTCAAACTGAAACGGGTGAGATTTAGGTTAGGTATAAGGAAGAAGTTCTTTACTGTGAGGGTGGTGAGACAGGTTGCCCAAAGACGTGGTAAATGCTCCATCCCTGGCAGTGTTCAAGGCCAGGTTGGACAGAGCCTTGAGCAACATGGTCCAGGATGAGGTGTCCATGCCCATGGCAGAGGGTTGGAACTAGATGATCTTAGGGTTTTTTCCAATCCAAACCATTCTATGATTATATATTTGAAGCCTTGTTCATACAAATTTTGAAAGGGAACAGTTCACAGTTCTGTATTTGAACATTATTTTCACTTTCAGCTAATACTTGTTTGTGACTTTTAACAATTTGTAGCAACTATGTAAACAACAACCGAAGTTTTCCAACTAACTCCCTCATTTCCAATTACAGTCATTCTTAGTCACTGGTGGGTTTTCTCCCTGAGCTACTCTACAGTTCCCTTTCAAGAACATTCTGATCTATAATCAGTAATGAGAGCAATGGAAAGTTGTTTTCAGCTGTAATAATAAATTTGGCAAAATAAGTTCTGCTGCAGGTCATGTGGCTTGCTGATACTCGTGATGCCCTCCATACTCCAGTTTTACATACTGTGCTGAGGATCTAAGTTTATCTCATTGGGGTTATTACTGTTGTTATTTGACGTAACTGCTTTCTTTTTTTCTCTAATACCTACGATCTCCCTTTTTCACCAAAGTGAATTTACCTTTTTTTGTTTGGCGAAAGAGTCACCAAAGCTGACGGGCTTGTAGTTGACACACATGTTGACATATGCATTTCCCCAGCTGCTCCTCCACTTGTTTTTCTCAGTATCACATTAGTGTAATCAAATATATTGGTATCACACCACTTCAGGATGCTTGTCCCCACAGAGTGCTCAGTAGGTTGCATTATTACTCTGAATAAAATTTGTGTGAGAGCAACTAAGAAAGCAGTCATGTTCTTGTTAGAGGAACATAGTGCTAGGTAGGAGCTGAATGTATCTGTTGCAGAAGAAAACGGTGTTGCCCATTTAGGTTGCAACCAAGATGCCAGTTGTCAACAAGTGAGAAATCTCACTCCGCTATATATGGCAGTCTTCCTTTCTAATTACGTATAGCTCTGACTGTTAAAAAGCTGGGTTTCTCATGAATATAGCTAGTTGAAATATAAGATTGCAAGTTTGTGGAGAGTTTTCTGGTACACCGACACGTAGTCTTGATCCACTACCTGAGTGCTCAGGGTTCTCAAGATCTAACTAGACAGAGCATTCCCAGACCCTCATTTTCTGACAGAGTTAGGAAATACTCAATGACACTGAGCCTAGAAGTCCTGGGAGTCTTGATCTGTCAAACCTAAACCAGGTATATATATGACTAAGGTTCCCCTGATCAAAGGTTTTACTATGAAATTCTCTATCAAACCATCCCGAGAAGCCTCAAAATGCCATTGTACATGCAGTAAAACCAGTAAAAAATTCCTCAAAACTACTTCATTAATTACTACAGAAAACTAAAAGCAGTGAAAATATAATTAATGAAAATCTTCAAGACTGTAATGATTGTGTTAGGTGCCTAGCTGCTGTGATCATTACATGGATGCACTATTACAATGAAACATGTAAGACTGCTATACCCAGAAACGTATTACTAGTGTTATGTTTTATGCCTTTGTAAATAACAAATGAATTATTTCATCCAATACCCACTTCAGTTAACACCCACTTTATTTTTTTCTTCTTGATTTAGGCATTGCTGCTTTTCAGTAATGATTATTCCTTTATCCCATTCCCGTATCACTGACATGCATCATAAACCTCATTTAGTAGTAGAGTGGTACTAACTTTAATTCCTTTCTGTGCCATTGTCTCACAGACTACGACTGACTCAAGCACTAGTGAAAGCAAGACTGCTGATGACTATATTATGGTTTCCAAAGAAGAGGAAGGACGTAGAAGTGCTGTCCCAGAGCCAGCACAATCCCTTCAGGCGCACAAGGAGGCAGTGGTGAAGCCAGAAGCTCCTTCTCGTTCTTTGATATTCTCTGACCCGCTGATGGGGTCCATTTCAGCCTCCTCCAGCAACCTGAGCTCCAGCCCTGATGACGACAGTAGTAATAACAGCAAAGATTCTGATTTTGCTATTGTCAGCCCACTGGACATCTAAAGAAGCAGGTTGGAAGAGTTTGCAAGATTAATTGTTACAACTCAGCGCAAATTCCTGTGATTCCATGGGCTGGATAAGTCTTTGGATTAGAAGGACAGAAAATAGATAAAGGTAACCCATTTCAGCTGCCAAAAGCCTAAATAAAAATAAATAAATAAATAAATAAATTTGCAACTTTTCAAAAAGAATAGACACCTTTTAATAACTGCCTTAAATAAAGACCCCGTAAATCCCATTTCTAATATACAGTCATTCTTAGTTATATGTTTATCTTACTTAGAAGCTTTGTTACTACAGAACTGTTGCTTTCCCAAAACATAGAATAGTATGTGCTAGGTACCATAAGGGATTAGAAAACGTGTAGAGACTTGGCATCAGACCTGAAGCAGCAAAGACAAGCTGGATTTAATATCATCCTTTTACAAAATATGCTTGACTGGGTTTTCTTAGTAGGAGAGGGTACTGTTTCTTCAGAAACTCTGATTAGAGAGGTGGGGAATGTATATGAGAAAGATTAAAAGTATCACCCTTGCAGTAAGCTTGTTCCCAGTTGAGGAATCCTAGTTTCTTCATTATCTGGCAGTAGCCTGAGGTGTGTTCGAGGCAGAGGTTTGTGTAGTTGTTCCTCAGCGCTGTCTTACAGAATGTGTGACAAATTCCTTGAGAACGGGGACCTACACAACAGAGCCTTATTTCCCTTTGCCTACTTTTTTTCCCCTTGAGAGGTCGCAGTTCACCTTGTTCCTTCTTCATATCTATCTACTTTTACTCCCCCTGGCATGAATTATTTTTTATTTTAGTGAGACTACCATGGTTAAAACAGTAGGTGCAAGGGAAATTGCAATATTGCATAGTGTAGACCTCAGCCGGTTGAACTGCAACTAGCTTGAGTATGATAACTTACCAGGGAAGGGTGCAAAGTGAAATGAAATGTTCACAGTCAAAAGCACTTTATATCTCATAACTAGTATCTTCTGTAGACTCTGTTTACATGTATTCCTGTGAGATTTCCACATTTCTAGTCAAGAAAAGCGTAACGGTGCAGCAGCATTAACCAACAGAAAGTTTCTGATTAACCCTAGAACTTGTTCTTCTATGAAAAAGTGTATTTCTTTCCTGTCAAGTACATAGTACATCTATTAACAGTTTTTTCAAGCTGATGGGGGGGGGGGGGGGGGGGTTGGGGGGGGGGGGGGGGAGGGGGTCCTCTCTGATCCCTTTAAAGTGTGTTGGAATTAACAGAAAGAAACCAGCGGTGAGCGGACACCTCCTCTTGCAAGACCCACACGGAGCTAGCTTGAGGAAAGAACGCCAGAAAGTCACTCTATAACGGCAGCAAAAAAAATTGTGCTACTTACTTTTAAGATACATTATACCATGCAACAACCTCATAATTGCATGGCAAAGCTTGTGTTTATATGGAGTTAAGAAATGGTAGTTATTTGCTGCTTAGTCTGTAATTGTAAATCAAGTACTGTATTCCAAAGATGAGGTGACATGTAGTTTGCTGGTCTTAGATTTTACAAGGTTTGTGTCAGTGACTGAATTGAAGGGATAATTGTCATGTAATTACATGGTAGCTGCCATATCCTTACACCTTCAAAAAATGCCATGTAGTCCTTCTGCGATTATTTGTGCCTTGTAAAATGATAAAATACTAGAATGTTATGAGCAGGCGTAGCATTATACCTCTCTGTGACAGTGGTACAGACAGACAGATGGCTGTTTAGATGAAAGATCTTAAATGCATAACATTTCAGAGCGGAGTTTATTTTGCTTTAATTTTAAGCTTCATTGAAAGTCACTTTGGAATTCAGCATGCATGCCTGTCTTCAGGTTTATTTTATTTCCCTGAGTTTGCATGAATGCCAGGGGATTAGGTGGGCTGTTGATTTATTTAGGTCTTTCAAGCTTTTCTAGCCTTAACCCGTTCAGCAAGGCTTGTGCCACACCACCAACAAAGGGGAATCTGTTCAAGAAGTACCTATGGAAAGAGGAAAGAAATATTCTGGGGACAGAGAGCAAAGTTTTATATTCTGTGATATATAAACACTCAAAGATTCCAGTACTTTGGCAGGGGAAATATTTTTACTTCTTTTTTTATTTTTTTTAAGCATCAGTCTTTTGAGTTCTGTTCTGGTTGTTTGTTTCAGGGATCACATTGCTATTTTCTTGAACAGTCTCATTGCCAATGGAAGAGTGTGATTTGTACAGTTCTTTTATTTTTGTAAGTTAGTTGTATCTTTAATATTGCGTATTTTAAAGCAGCGCTAAAAGTTTATAAAGATTGTGTGAGTTTCTGAGAAGTTTTCACTGATCAGTGAATACCGATGAGCTGAATGCCTGTCATGTCATGGGATACGATAAAAATCTTCAGAAGCAGAGATGTAATTATACAAACAAGATGAGAGTGAATTCCAGTACATTAATCTGCTTTGGTTATACCATGTCCTTCCACATCTCAGATATATCTGATACTTGATCATATGGCAGAGATACTTAGAATTTTGTATATTCATTAAGTTCGAAGCTTCTAAGTTAGACAAAACGTCAAGTCATCACCCTGTCTTGTGTTATGTTAAAAGTTCCAAGAAAGAAGTTGTCATTTAAAATGCAAGATCATTCTTTTTCTCTGAAGATGACCTGCTCATAATATTAATGGATAACAGTAATCAGATAGAAAAATTATATTCATTGCAACTTACTGATGAAAACTAATATGGGATTAAGATATGTATCTGAGACTGTTGTAATGTATCTCGCATCTGTGATTTATGACTGAAGTCTCTTGCATGTCATGTCATTTGTATGTACTGCAGAAAGACAGTATCATATTTTCACTGGGTATTCATTTAGTCGTGGAACTTTGTATCTCTAGTCTGGAAGAACATCTAGCCCGCTTTATTAAAGAAAGAATTAACAAATTTTCTGGGATGTGCTTGTGGTGTATTTTCAAAAAGGAGGGAAAGCTTTTTGACTGGAAGACTGGAGGTGTGAATACTGAGAACGAGAGTAATTAGAACTATCCAATTATCTACATAAGCACACAAATTATTAATATTTTAATCGGATTTTATATATATGATCCAGGGAATAAAACTGCCTGTCATTTATGTCAGCCAAACAGCATAAAACATTTCTTATTTTACCCTATTTATTGTATCTGAAAATAACAAACTAGAATTTAACAAAGTATAACTTTCTGCAGTTTCATGGAACTTGGTATGGTTACATAGCTGTGTGTCAGACACAGTGCCAGTATCTGTACAGTTCACTTTTCTGAATCTCAATACTTTATTTCATATTCTTAAATGTTTCCTGTGATTCTCCAGTACGTTCTTATTAGATGGCACTGAGGCAGCTATTTAAGAGATTAAATTTCAGATTGAAGGTGTACTTGTGCCTGGCAGTTACAGTGTCATCTTTCAAATACAGGCACAGCAATCCTAACATGAACACATTTCTGAGGGTGTCAGCCCTTAGATAATAGTTTTGATTCTGTGCTGCATGTGTTGGTCTAGAGTGAATGTCTGTAATGGTTTATTAGACTTGAAAAGGTGCAATTTCGTAAAATAAACTGCATTTGGCTACAGAATAATAATGACACTGTCTCATAATCTCTGCTGTTCTTTTAAAAGTGATTTATATACAGTCTCTGCATTAGCGTTTCCTGTGTCACCAAATCTGCTAGACTCCCACTTTAGTAGCTAGCTAAATTTAGAGATGAAAGAGCATGAAAGGAGGTCATCAGAGAAACAGCAACTTGAAACATGCACATAGGCGACTTGTTTGCCTGCTGCTTGAAATATATTTAACTGCTAAAATGAGGGGAGGTTTTAGATACGTGGGAGGATCCTGCAAGAGGCAAAGTGCATAACCCCAGAAACAGTGAGCTGGATGGGATGCAGCATGAGACTCTCAAACTACAGATTCTGTAGGGCAGGATCCATCCATTTCTCTGAGTTTTTACAGACCTTCTGGCATAGTTCGCCATCGTAGGATCATAGAATGGTTTGGGTTTAAAGGACCTTAAGATCATCTAGTTCCAATCCTCACACTAGACCTTGTTGCCCAAGGCTTTGTCTGGCCTTGAACACTGCCAGGGATGGAGCATTTGCCACTTCTTTGGGCAACCTGTTCCAGTGCCTCACCACGCTCACAGATCACATCATCACAGATGCTGTCAAAATTAAGATGATAATAATATACTCATTATTTCGCCCGGTTTTACTCTTTCAAACAGTGAACCAGATGTAAACCATTAATAATAACTTAGCTGATAACAGTAGCATTGTGTCAGAGGAATTTGGTCCCACACTGCTGAAATAAGTGCAAGCTGAAGAGCAGTAGCTTAAGCAAACAAGTTAAAACCAAAGTAATCCACACCAAAGCCAGGATAACAGTATTGCCAAACATAAAAAACTGTATTTCTCTCGAGACGTATGTTAAGTGTAAGAAATGTTTTCTAAAATGTGCTTCAGGTGGCACTTGTGTAACTGGTTTGACTATGCCAAGTAGGTTTGAGCAAACCTATCTTTGGTTTTAACTTGCAAAAGCCTAGCTGCTGCTGAGGTGCAGGAAGCATTAAAATCTATCAATCAGCTGCAGAGGAAGACACTGCGGTTCCATTTTCTATGAATGGTAAGAATTTGATCATTCAAATCCTGCTGGTTTAACACTTTCGCTGTCTTTCACGGTGACAACATGAAAACCTTGTAAGCATTTACGGAGACCTGATGGGAACTCTGCTGCTTCAGTCGTCACGTGCAGTCACAAGAGCTTTAAGCTGAGAAAGTTTTCACAGCTTTGCCTTTCACTGTGAGCTTCGGGGACTGTGGTGAGATTAGGTTTGCCTGAATTTTTAACTAGTACAAAGAAGAATTCAAAGATGCTATAAATTATCATGTCAGCATTTGAGACCTTTTGGAATGTAAATGGCTACATGGTTTTGAGATGGAAGAATAGTTGTCACAATGTCTTGATTTCCCACCTCCTGTGTTAACTGAATCCAGGGAATGGGCATTTTTAGATCAGTATTGAATTCCCCTTTAAAATAAGAGAAAATATCAAGCAAACTGATATTAA